GTCTTTCGATTTCTCTTTTGTTACATCAAAAAGGCTGCAGTCAATTTTGAAAGATGGATTTAGGACTGTAAAATCTGGATTACGTTAAACATTCCTTAGATCCAGCGGTACAGAGTGGCGAAGACCGGTCCATTCTAGAAAATTCGTCTTCTCTAGGTGTTTTGCGATTACATCATAACAATCGATGTTGTTAAGATCGAAACGCAGGTCTCCCACTGTCTGAATTCCATGATTTAAGTACCTTTTATAAAATACTGGTTTTTCAGTTGTTTATTCTTATTTCCTGGTTATTCCAAATTCGGTAAAGCCAATTAGTTTCAACCACATTATCTTTCCGAATTTCAGACCACCATTTCAATAACTCCATGTAGAATTGAGAACTGATACTTCAGTCTTTGACGTTATAGTTGCAATTAAAAAGAAACAGACGGCCTGTTTCTTTTAAAAGATATTCTAAATAATTTTTCCATGCGCCAGAATTATCGCCAGAGGTTCTTTTCAGCTAGGCGAGACGGAGAGATCTAATCATACTTTCAATATCAACCATTTTGATGCCTCCTCCCTCATAATCATTCATCTTAGATTTTCTAGTTACTTTGTCTTTTCCTTTCCATAAAAAGTTGTAAATCAAATGGTTTAATTCTTTAATTATAGTTTCAGGGGTAGGTAACAAGGATTCCACGTACACAACCATCGGTAGAAGCAAAGATTTAATTATAGTCATCTTTCCATAAAGGGATAGAAGACAGAAAACCTTGATAATTATTTATGTACACTTTTCGGACGGATCTCCTTCCAATCTATAATGAAATTTCTTAGTATTTACAAGTGTATGTCTTTCAGACAATGTACTTTTGGTCAGGAAAGTTTGAGTTTCTGCATACCAAACCTAACTCTCTTAAAACTTAATGAAAAGAATCAAATATCCACTCCAGGAGTGACACTGTTTTAGCTTACTCTTTGCAATTCTGGCTCTGTCCTGCACAAAAATGTTGCCTTTTTCTGTTTGAATCGAATTAAAGGAGATTTCTAGAGTAGTCAATTCGCATTAATAGTATAAATGAAAAAACTATGCGCTTCTGATTGGCTTAAAACGGGTGCTTTCATATGTAACACAAGCGCAAAAGTTGTAGCACGAGTGCAAAGTTGTAAAACGAGTGCAAATTACAAATGGGCTCAGAGTGGTTCAAAAACAACAACCCGCTGGTCGGTGACTTACGTATTAACGTACTGGTCTCTGTAGCCAACCGTCGTCAGACTTGTGGATGATATTCGTAATATTTGGTGTCGGTAGCAGCGAAGGAGTTGAAAATTTCAATTGCAAGATGTCTGTGTTTGGAAATGCTTCATGCTTTCATCTGATTTTGATTACTTTCGAGAGGTTCATAGCAATCGAGTTTACCAAGCAATACTCAAACGTTATAACTGATAACAATTATTTAAAAACAGCAATGGTAGCATTTTGGATCTATGCTGTCACGTGTGGGATTTTTAGTGTGTTGAAAAACGTATCCAGTATTACTTCGCTATGTCATTCTACACCACGGAATTCTTCTCCACCAAAGCAAGATCTGCTCGTTTTGAATACTGCAGTCGACGAAAAGCGACTTCGTTGCCTCTTGTTTGGTCTGGAACAGCATGGATTGCTGAGAAACTTCTGATGGCTGTGGTTGTTGGTGGAAGAAGAAAAGGCTCTCGACAAGACTTAACTGCAGTTGTGCAGTTGTGATGTCGACGGACGAGAGTTGTAGCTCAAAGAGACTGTTCCTGCGGTGTCCTGTAATGGCTATGATGTGGCGGTTTGAAATCCCAGAGTTGGCCTGAGAGTGATCGCAGTAGCTTTTACAAAGTGACTTGTGTAAACTTGGATAAACGTGCTTATTCGCTGATATTTTTCATCATTTTAGTGAGACAGTGTATTCTAAGCGGTCGTGCTTCGTACCAAACTGCATCTTCGGCCGTGCTGTTTTTCTTCGGAGGCTGGAAAAAGGCAGTGCACTTCGGATTGACCCTCTGCAGGTATAGCTTCAGCGCCTTGTAGCTGTCACCTTGATCTCGGGTTTCATACATTCTTGCTTCTTTTCTTGTGCTTTCTACATCGTTCAATCCTACTGGATGATTCTTTGATATTTCATCGTGGCCCATTGTCACGTTCCTTCGTCCAGCCTCATCGATTTAAAACTTGAATCTCTTTGTCACCAAGCTTCTTTGACCTTGACGGCCCCTTCGGCAAACGAAAAGGACAACGTGAAACCAAACGATCCTCAGCAAGGAAAGTAGTTGAGACAAGGGAAAAACATTGCCAGATCTCAGCTTCTGGGGTCTTCCTCCTCTTAACTCGGAGCAATTGGTACCTCTTGAACGTAAAACATATGTTAAATACCTAGGTGTTCTAACTGACGATAATCTCTCCTGGAAGCACCATATTAACTACATTTCCACGAAAATAAGCAAAGGTATCGGTATTGTTGCAAGGCTAAGACACTTGGTACCGCTCACTACTCTTATAAACATTTACCGCTCGCTCATTGAACCGTATATTTCCTATGGTCTCGTTGCTTGGGGCCAAGCCGCGAATACTCATCTAAACAAAATCGTCATTTTACAAAAGCGGGTTCTTCGTCTAATG